ATTTGCTGCTCAAGAAACATTTCTGATTATTATTAATGTTGAAAACAGGATTCTTTGAATAGAAAGTTTCAAAGTTCAGCATTTATTTGAAATAGAAAACTTTTTATCATTATGTCTTTACTGTCACTTTTGATCAATTTAATGCCGAATAAAAAGTATCTAAGACCATCACACAGAATTATATTTGTATGCGTGTGAAATGTAAGAATTCATTGTTTCCTTCTCCTGTTTTTCTGCATCTGATGACCTGAGCTCATGCGCATTAATTCAGTCGTGTGTGTTTGTGTGTTTAGCTCTTAGTCGATGACCTGTTAGTGTATAACAGGGTTTTAGAGTGTGTGAAGAACGTTTCACGGGGAATTCTGCCAACCCTGGATCCTGTCGTTCCTTACCACACCATACTGTTCACAGACAACATGCAAATCACACACCGAGAGAAGAGCACAATTATCAGGTACACACACTACATTTAATATTTCTGTGGTGCTTTTTTGTTTAAAGCAACTTATTTTATTTTTTTTAAGAAATGTGGATTTCTCTATTGCATCAGGCTGTAAAAAACTTTCTTGCAACCTGTTTTTAAAATTGCACTAATTAAACACCCACATAAATGCATTGAACACACACCCACAGCTGAATGTGAGCACTCAATGCCACACACACACACACAACTGCTGTTGACTGACTCATTGTTTGGCCTGATTGCTCTCTCTTATGCCCTGAGCATGATGCAAAACAGACCAGATGATGACTTGAGAAACTCTGTGTCTGTGTGTGTGCGTGTGTGTGAGTGTGTTTTAAATGAACTGTATGAGAAGCTGTGATCACTCTTATATTCATCCTTCAAGCCTACGGTTCTTTTCCAGGCTGCATTTTTGTCTCATGATGCATTTTGTGTTCATGTAAACAAGAGCCTGCGTCAGTGAAACTCATTGTCTGTCATTATAGCAACCATGTGGAGTACCAGGATGTGAAATTGACCAATGAGAATCAGATCATTCACCAGCACAAGAAGAAACAGACAGCTGACCCAGGTGCTGTCAATCATTACACGCACATTTAATTCGCTTAATGAGGACATGCATGCATTGCTATTGTTTTATTATGAAGCTAATATAATGACTACCTCCTAAGCGTACCATAGAAAACTTGCATGTTTCATTTTCAGAATAAGTCATAAATGTGTTTAATTTCAGCTCTGCGGCCCAAAACCTGCATGACGGATGTACGGAGACACGGAAAGCAGCGATACTGAGAGTATGACTCAGTTGAAAGCAGGTTTTCTTTTTCTTTTTCCCTCTGGGAACATTTGGAAAACTTAGTAACCTCAACACGCACGCGCACACACACACACACACACACACACACACACACTTGAACTGTATGATAAAGCTGTATATATATTTTTGCTATGATGTTATTGTGTTATTATTGTAAGTATTTTTAAAGTAAGTGTCCTTTGACCATGTCGTGTGATTTTGGATGGAAGTTAATGCATACTAACATGCACACCACATTTAATTTTTCATGTCAGATCCACTTGTGATAAGAATTTGTAGTTTGTATATCCTACAGCCATGTTTGAAATATTTAAACAGTCTAATTGTCTAATATATCAGCAACAATAAGTACTTACAATATTTCAGATTTACAGGGTTTCTAAGTCTTTCACAGTTCATTCAAAACACTTTTAACAAAAACAAATATGCAAATGCTGCCAGTTTACCTCATATGAAAGCCACTGTAATTATTATTAAATATCACCTATCTCACCTATTGTTGGTCACTATTTTTATTTGGGTATGCAATTTTCTATCAAGACTTTACCTTGAGAGATAAACTTCTTGGAAACGGTCATTATTTTTGTAATTGGGTTCAAAGCTGCTAGTGTTGCAGAAATCATTTACTGCAGCATAAACTGAGATTGCGGTTTGTAATATCATCATAGCTACAGATTTGAATGCTAACTAATCCTAATCTTTGAGCAAACCGAACCTTAAATGGTGATTTTTTTTTTTTTTCATCAAGAGCTTAATCCAAGTAATTCTAGCAGCTGTTGTGATTTGTTGATTATAATAGGAGTGATCTTGTTTGGTTATTCATTTTCAAAAATATTTATGAGTTTGAGTTTTGGTTTTTGGCTGAAAATGTACTCGCTCTCAGACCATCCAAGATGTGGATGACGTGTTTTAAATGAACTGTATGAGAAGCTGTGATCACTCTTATATTCATCCTTCAAGCCTACGGTTCTTTTCCAGGCTGCATTTTTGTCTCATGATGCATTTTGTGTTCATGTAAACAAGAGCCTGCGTCAGTGAAACTCATTGTCTGTCATTATAGCAACCATGTGGAGTACCAGGATGTGAAATTGACCAATGAGAATCAGATCATTCACCAGCACAAGAAGAAACAGACAGCTGACCCAGGTGCTGTCAATCATTACACGCACATTTAATTCGCTTAATGAGGACATGCATGCATTGCTATTGTTTTATTATGAAGCTAATATAATGACTACCTCCTAAGCGTACCATAGAAAACTTGCATGTTTCATTTTCAGAATAAGTCATAAATGTGTTTAATTTCAGCTCTGCGGCCCAAAACCTGCATGACGGACGTACGGAGACACGGAAAGCAGCGATACTGAGAGTATGACGGCAGGGTGCAGGGATTTTGAAAGCAGGTTTTCTTTTCCCTCTGGGAACATTTGGAAAACTTAGTAACCTCAACACGCACGCGCACACACACACACACACACACACACACACATTTGAACTGTATGATAAAGCTGTATATATATTTTTGCTATGATGTTATTGTGTTATTATTGTAAGTCTTTTTAAAGTAAGTGTCCTTTGACCATGTCGTGGGATTTTGGATGGAAGTTAATGCATACTAACATGCACACCACATTTAATTTTTCATGTCAGATCCACTTGTGATAAGAATTTGTAGTTTGTATATCCTACAGCCATGTTTGAAATATTTAAACAGTCTAATATATCAGAAACAATAAGTACTTACAATATTTCAGATTTACAGGGTTTCTAAGTCTTTCACAGTTCATTCAAAACACTTTTAACAAAAACAAATATGCAAATGCTGCCAGTTTACCTCATATGAAAGCCACTGTAATTATTATTAAATATCACCTATCTCACCTATTGTTGGTCACTATTTTTATTTGGGTATGCAATTTTCTATCAAGACTTTACCTTGAGAGATAAACTTCTTGAAAACGGTCATTATTTTTGTAATTGGGTTCAAAGCTGCTAGTGTTGCAGAAATCATTTACTGCAGCATAAACTGAGATTGCGGTTTGTAATATCATCATAGCTACAGATTTGAACGCTAACTAATCTTAAATTTTTGAGCAAACCGAACCTTAAATGGTGATTTTTCTTTTTCATCAAGAGCTTAATCCAAATAATTCTAGCAGCTGTTGTGATTTGTTGATTATAATAGGAGTGATCATGTTTGGTTATTCATTTTCAAAAATATTTATGAGTTTTGGTTTTTGGCTGAAAATGTACTCGCAGTTAACATCTGGAGAAGTGAAAAGCTGCATGTTTGTAAGAAACAAATCCTAAAATAGTCCTCTTTCCATAATATTTGCTTTCTCCAATGAAAAGTAATTTTATCTGAATCAGGAGAAAAACAATTGACTGGAGGAAGCGGTATTATGGTTTTATTAGCATTATTATGTATTCTGGCCAGATGAGATGGTTTAAAGTTAAAACATCTTAAGTATGGATTTGTTTCTTACAAACGCCTTGCAGGTGAACTGGTGCGCTGTGTCTTTCTGTACAATTCAGCCATTGCGACTGTACCTGCCAATTTTCTGCTAATACCTATTGGTTTTGTGTAATATGCATTGGATGCCAAGCCAAAATTATTGTTGTTGACGGAGACTCCATGAAGCACGCCACAACAGAATCACATTTCAAAGCCTGAGAGATTTTAATGCAGAATCTGCAACACTTTCATTTAAAAGAAGGAATGACGTTAACAATCTATCTCATCCTCCAGCCTGACAGGAGCATTTTTGAACGAACATTGATAAGGCCCTGCTCGGCTGGGGTGAGACGATGCCACAGACAGATGCGTTTCGGTTCCCTTGAGGCTGTGTGATCTTCAGATCTTTCCTGGAAATGTTCCATCTTCCCTCTGAGTGTCCCATTTCTCAATCTGAGCGACACACGGAAATGTTGAGAGTAAATGACGTTCATGCACAATTCTGATGCTTACAGAAATAGAGGATGAAGGAATATTTACCCAGGATAGAGGACAGAGGGATTTGTAGACCCTCTTGTACCAGTCACATGGAGCTGTGTCGACACCTTTGGCATCCAGAGCTTTTTGGCAGCGATAATAATCTATAAATAAATTAAATGGATTCCATAGATTACTGTGTTTTTTGGACATGGTAGCATTTCTAAAAGGTGAATCACAAACAAGAACAAGTACAGGTTAAATTTCACATTACTCTAAAAAAAAAAAAAATGTAGGAGGAAAATGGCACCCATTCACTGCAGAGCATTCATTGCTGAGACACTGATGCAATGCTACATTTCTCCAAATCTGATGAAGAACCAACCTTATCTACATTTTGGACGGCCTGAAGGTGAGTACATTTTCAGCAACTTTTTATTATTGGATAACTATTCCTTTAAAAGGGAAGATTTAACCAACATGTTAAATGTTCTGCTTGTGGTTGTCTAGTTTACTTGTTACTACATGCCTTAAAAAACTTTACCAAATCCACTGATTTAGTTCCTCCTCATAAGTTCTTGTTCTAATAAGTTCTCAACCTGGTACCTTGTAAACACTATTTTGTTTGCAGGTGAACTGGTGCGCTGTGTCTTTCTGTACAATTCAGCCATTGCGACTGTACCTGCCAATTTTCTGCTAATACCTATTGGTTTTGTGTAATATGCATTGGATGCCAAGCCAAAATTATTGTTGTTGACGGAGACTCCATGAAGCACGCCACAACAGAATCACATTTCAAAGCCTGAGAGATTTTAATGCAGAATCTGCAACACTTTCATTTAAAAGAAGGAATGACGTTAACAATCCATCTCATCCTCCAGCCTGACAGGAGCATTTTTGAACGAACATTGATAAGGCCCTGCTCGGCTGGGGTGAGACGATACCACAGACAGATGCATTTCGGTTCCCCTGATGCAGTTCTCTGGAGGCTGTGTGATCTTCAGATCTTTCCTGGAAATGTTCCATCTTCCCTCTGAGTGTCCCATTTCTCAATCTGAGCGACACACGGAAATGTTGAGAGTAAATGACGTTCATGCACAATTCTGATGCTTACAGAAATAGAGGATGAAGGAATATTTACCCAGGATAGAGGACAGAGGGATTTGTAGACCCTCTTGTACCAGTCACATGGAGCTGTGTCGACACCTTTGGCATCCAGAGCTTTTTGGCAGCGATAATAATCTATAAATAAATTAAATGGATTCCATAGATTACTGTGTTTTTTGGACATGGTAGCATTTCTAAAAGGTGAATCACAAACAAGAACAAGTACAGGTTAAATTTCACATTACTCTAAAAAAAAAAAAAAATGTAGGAGGAAAATATTTCTCATGACAATCATAGAAAAATGCAAGAAATCTCCCTTATTTTCTTTATGCAATTTTTCATTGAAAAAAAACAAAACTTACTGTTTTTACGATTTACATAAATTATTAGTAAAATATTTGGAGTAACGCGGTTCTGAAAGTCTCTTATGCTCACCAAGGCCGCATTTATTTGATTAAAAATACAGTAAAATTATTTTCAGGATTATTTGATGAACAGAAAGTTCAGAGTATAAGGATTTGAAATAGAAATCTTTTGTAACATTATAAATGTATTTACTGTCACTTCTGATCAATTTAATGTGCTCTTACTAGGGCTGTAAAATCAATTAATCGGGATTAATCGCATCCAAAATAAAAGTTTGTGTTTACATAATATATGTGTGTGTATATTTATATGCATATATAAATAAACACACAGAAATGTATACATATTTCAGAAATATATGTTAAATGTATTTATATATAACATAAATCATATATAAATATGAATATATATATAATGTAAATATTTCTTAAATATATACACATGCATGTGTGTGTATATACATATAATATATATACACACACACACACACACACAACTTATGTAAACACAAACTTTTATTTTGAATGCGATTAATCACGATTAATCGATTTTACAGCCCCGAATAAAAAAAAAATTATTTAAAAAAATAAATCTTGCTTACCCCAAACTTTCAAACGATAGTGTAGGCTTATGTTTCATACAGAATTGTATTAATTAATAACAAACGTGGTTAGCATGCGAGCTTATTTCAGCAACGGGATTAAAAAATATTTGCGACTCAGAATTGCGAGGGAAAAAAAGTCTGAATTTTGTGAGGTAAACTAAGAATTGTGAGGAAAAGCTAAGAGTTGCAATTACCGTTTTTACCGTGTTGAATAAATAAGTTTCCATAGTTAAGAGCGCAGTTCAATAAACGCTCGCGAACCAAAACACCACAGCAACACTAAAGCGTGAATCGACTAAACCTTACACTTTTTATATCACAAGTATACACGCAAAAGTTCTGTTAAAAAGTTTGTAAACAGCTAAAAGTCTATTCAAATCACTTGCATAAATGATTTGCAAGTTACACTGATGGTTGCACCACCACAGGTCACGACTTTCTGCAGTGGATTACACGCACTTGCATAACGTTACTCTCTAAATATATATTTTTCCCAATAAATGACTCACCCAGGTAGTTCTGCCAGCAGTTTCTCGTCTGGTTCTGGTTCGGGAAGCGGGCATCGAACGGTGCCGTGCGGTACTGCTCCAGTTTCTGCTGAACGTCTTCGGCCATGACTCGCGCGTGCCGTTTAATTCCGATCACCTTAAATACATGCATCTATCATAATTCAGCAATAGATTAATGCAGCACGCTGCGCGATGCCAAGAGATGCCCATGCATGCCCATACGCATCAGAATGCTTAATTTCATCATGAAAAAAAAAGAAAAAAGAATAGTAATAAAACATGGGTCACGAGACTAATGTATTTATATGAGCTCTATGTGATTAGACGGTGTGTATATGACTAATATAACGCTGCACATTTCAGTAGGATTACAATAGCGCATCTGTCAAGGTGTTACGTTTCATATATTATTCCACTTATTAGTTTTGCATTTCAAAGAGATCCGATGTGGTCGATGCCTCCGTCGTCACATTGTTAAACACTTTCGCTTTTACAATCAGAGTCCTTGTCCCGCATTTCAATAGAAAGCGTTACATTACCGCATGCAATGACAGCGTATATACAGTGTTTTACCTGTCTGAGGCTGATGCTGGCTGTTCGGAGAGACTTTTGTTCAGTGACAGACAATCCTCATTCACTAGCTCGTTCTCACATTCACCAGGAGATGCGTTTAACATAATAAATCAATAATTCACTTTCGGTAGTTTTTGCATTTTCTTCGTACAGTAATACGTATTGTCTTGCATTTGCGGTCTCTGTGGTCCAGGAAACCTGCATGAACCTACTGTATGTGTACAGTGTGCGTGTGTGCATGTGGCACGTTTAAATGGAATAACAAAATTACTTTTCTGAAAACTTGGCTTATGAATATTAAGTTGGTATGACCTAATAAATATTCATGAGATAAGTGTGACGTCTTGAATAAGCATGAAACAAGAAGATCAAAAGAAATGATAAACTGCATTAAAGATTCAAAAAACAATAGCACTGAATGCATTCTGCAGTTTTTATTACACAGTGTAGCAATGCAATCATTTAGAGTATTCTCCAATAAAGACAGAAAATGGCATAAGCTAAATTTTCGACCTGATCTACAGGTTTACAAAACCAGTTAATAATAATAAACCTCTAATTATAAATACAACGCATCAAAGTTAGCTGATTTATTTTAAACATGTTCATCTACTAAACCTGTAATTGAATCCACAGTGTTTCATTTGACTTCTTTAGATTCAAAGTCATGTTGTTTTGGTGCAGCTGATCGTCCTGATCTTCCGTGGATGTAGATGATGCACAGAAAACTGAAGATGACATAAAGCTACAGTAAACTAAAGGTATAGTTCTGCTTGTTGGTTCGACATCCACAGCCACTTTAAATTAAACCCACATTTTGTAGATATGATTCAAAACTGCAGTATATTACTCATAACAGCATCTGTAGTGATTTTAGGTCCCTCTTTAAGGCACTACATGTACAGCACTAAGTGATAACAGTCCCCCCTGCTATCAAAACATCACAGTGAGTTAACAAGAATGACAAAGGTGCATCTTTAACAGTAGCAGCGGCATGAAACAGCAGAACACTTACAAACACTTTGTTCTGACTCACCCGAACTCTTCAAACCATTAATAACCGAGACACAAAGTCTCCATCCTAACACACAAAGCCCTGTGATGCAGGAGCAACACTGCACTGCAAATATACAATATTCATTAGTTTTCTCTTGACACACACAACTAGCCTTGTTTTTAGTGTTGCTGTAAAATGCAGCTAAATGCTTAGTGTGTATGAAACACAATGTGCATTGTGTAAACTCCTCCGTTATAGCGTTACTCAAGACATCATGCCACTACAGACTCAGAATACAATGAAAACAGCACAATGATCCAAACATGAATCTCATGTCCAGGTCATATTTCATACCAAAATCCAAAGGAAAAAAAGAATAAATTATATTTTGCAAAAGAAAATTAAAGCCATTTTTAAGATGATTCCGTTTTTAGATTGTGGCATTACTTTTATGACATTTAAAGCAATAGTTCACCTAGAAATTGAAATGAGCTGAAAATGTACTCCTCTTTAGTCCGTCAAAGATGTAGATTCAACAAATTTGGAGAAATGTAGCATTGCATCTCTTGCTCACTCATCTGCAGTGAATGGGTGCCGTCAGAATGGGAGTCCAAACAGCTGATAAACACATCACAATAATCCACACCACTCCAGTCCATCAGTTAAGAAACAAATAGTAAGAAACAAATCCATCAAGACGTTTTTTTAATCTTCAAAACCATTGCTTCCAGCTAAAATATGAGTGTGTAATCCATAATAACTCTTCCTCCAGTGAAAAAGTGGTCTGGTCTGAATCAGGAGAGAAATCTGCACAGATCAAGCAGCGTTTAAACAGTCCAAAACAGCTCTAAACAAATATGTTGAAAAATTCTGATGTGAGAGACAACAGAAGATGGACATTTTTCCTGGAGGAAGCATTATTATGAATTATGGACTCATGTTTTAGCCTGAAGTGACGGTTTAAAGTTAAAATGCCTTGATGGATTTGTTTCTTACAAAAACACAGCTTTCACTTCTCAAGACATTAACCGATGGACTGGAGTGGATTTTCATTTTTGGGTGAACTACTCATTTAGACCAATTTCCAACCAAATTTGTCATGACCCAGACTGTTCTTTATGAGATTCACTTTTAATATGAAATCCCTGATCATTATAAATATATATGTAGCCCCTGATAGTCTCTGGCCTCATGCAGAAATCTGAAATGCTTTACAGTAGTTTATGATTGTCATAAAATAATGCAGCAAGTTTGTAACTTCTAAATGAATACATTCAGTTTGATAGGATTTGGTTTAGTTTCCAATAAAAGCATCTCAGGTTTTATGACATCGATCTCAAGCAGCTTTAACTAGATAACAGATATTCTAAACAAAACAGTCGTGACATGAGCTCTGTTTTGGATTTCAAGTTCTACATGCAGTCACGTTTAATTTTTTTTTTGAAAATTAGTGTTTAAATATAAACTGTGTTACTGTGTTTCAGAAAAGTGCATCACTGAAGCGCAGCCTGTAGAACTCCTGCTTCACATCCTCTTCAGTGATCGATTCATCAGCTGTTACTCTCAGAGCGCCGCTCTCCGACACATCATCCTTGATCTTGCGCTTGGTCAGAATCACTGGCTCCGTCTCGCCTGGTTCTGCGCGCTGTCGTCCATCTGGTCCCGTCAGAACGAGGTAACAGGCGTGGCGGCCTCGCTCCAACAGCGTCGCTACACAAATGCAGAGAGATGTTTATTTTTTTTAACAAACCCGACTTACAATATGTTGCGATTTAAAGGTGCTCGCAGTCGATTCGCAAACTTTTAACCCTACATATGCCTTAAAGGTACAGTAGCAAAAACTTTTAATGCAACAAAACGTTTGTGAAAAGGAGATACCCTTAAAAGAGATGATGTTCTGTGGAGGATTTCTTCTTTCAAGCAGCAGTTGGGAAAGTCGAGGATGCAGCAGGAATGATGAATGCATCTCATTCTGAGTATCGACAAAAACACAGACACACATCAGTGGCTCATTTCTGCAGGTGTGTGTTTGTGTGAATATGTTTTCGCTCTTACGGTCTGGTTGCCGTGACTTTGTCCCCAGAGCATGAACACGGAGTAGGTGTTCAATGTGAGGACAGACGCCGGATGAGGACTCGGAGTCCAGAACAACAGATTCACCTCCCACAGGACCACTCCAGAGCTTCCACTGAGAACCAATACCTAAAACACACCATATATATATATATATATATTTAATCTAATCTATATAATTAGACAGATAATATATACATGCACCAAATGTCTGGGGTCAGTTTTTCTTTTGATCATATATTATTGCATAATTGCATTTTTTTTTTCATGATTTTTAAAATGTTTTTTAAAAAAGTGTAAACTAATTTTTACAATTAAAATAACCATTTATATTTGAATATCATTAATAATGTAATTTATTCCTGTGATCAAAGCTGCATTTTCAGCATCATTACTCCAGTCTTCAGTGTCACATGATCTTCAGAAATCAGTATAATATGCTGATCTGCTGCTCAAAAAACATTTATGATTATTATCAATGTTGAAAATAGTTGTGCTGCTTCATATTTTGGTTGAAATCTTGATACATTTTATTTTTCAGGATTCTTTGATGAACGGAAGGTTCAAAAGAACAGAATTTAATTAAAATAGAAATCTTTTGTAACATTATAAATGTTTTTACTGGTACTTTTGATCTATTGAATGCATTCTTGCTGAATAAAAGTATTAATATAAATTAGTATTCTTTTTTTTTTTTTTTTTATCTTACTGACCCCATATTTTGAATGGTAGGGTTTTTACATATGATTAAAACTAGCCGAAAAGAAAAAAAATAAAGTGTACACACACACAGTATATCTAACTATATATAACACCTCAAATTATTATAAGTAATCCTCAATGATCACTTACTCTTTTGGTTTTATTGCCAACGTCTTCCTCTATCATTATATCTGGAATTCCATCTTTGTCAAATTGCCCAAATGTTGGCACACTAGACAAACACACAGAGGAATAAATCAGTGTAACACGCACAAATACCTTCCACTGGTTTGGGATCAGTGTTTTTAATCTCACCTGAGCAGAGTGCTGGTGTTTGTGGTCCACGCGATCTTTAGTTTGTCTGTGTGCAGCAGTGACACGCTGGAGTCCGTCTGGACCAGCAGTGATGGAGAACTACTGCCAGGAACAACCATCACACGCTTCAGAGAATCAAACCTACGGCGAAGCGATCAGAAGAAACACATCATATAATGAGAATGGAAAATCAAAGAAAGAAAGTGGATAAGGTTTAACCCCCGATGTGTATTACTGATAGAGGGAGATCAATCCAGTGTGCGTGTCGGATTTTTCCTCCCAGCTTTTCTCATCCTTCAGCGCAGACTCCAGACCGGCCAGAGCTGCCAGACGTCGCAAACTGACCGCATAGAGCCCAGATTCTTTGGAGAGAGAGAAACGGTTGAGTTCAGGGACATAAAGAAGAATCTAAAGAGAAGAGATGCTAAAATCCTCTACACACTTTTGAGTAACAGCAGGTATGGAGCGCCACTGGCTGTTTTGAACCGCAGGTGACCAAACACCCCGTTCCCATCAACATGCACCTCTGAGCCGATCTGATCCCCTGACTTCCCTGAGAAAAACACCAGCTGAAAGAGGGAACAGATCACAATGAACACTATCACGAAGTCTTCAGCACAGGTGTTATTAAGTGTGTGTGTGAGTGTGTGTGTGTGTGTGAGCATTTGTGACAAATGAGGACATAAATGTGTATAATGACAAAGGTATGACAGGTATTACAAGGAGAAGGTGACTTCAGGGCATTACCCCATGTCCCCACTTTTCACAAAAACAAACCTGTGTGAGAGTGTGTGTGTGTGAGAGAGAGAGTGTGTGTGTGTGAGAGAGAGAGTGTGTGTGTGTGAGAGAGAGAGTGTGTGTGTGTGAGAGAGAGAGTGTGTGTGTGTGAGAGAGAGAGTGTGTGTGTGTGAGAGAGAGAGTGTGTGTGTGTGAGAGAGAGAGTGTGTGTGTGTGAGAGAGAGAGTGTGTGTGTGTGAGAGAGAG